TACTACACACACACACACACACACACACACACACACACATATATATATATATATATATATATATATATATATATACCATTTGATGTAATAAAAAATCATTTTAATTTAAAATTTATGCCAAGAACTCATTCTCAAGCTTGGCATGAACATTTAATGTCGATTGTTTTCCTTCAATACATGTTTTGGTTTTCCACATTCAGAGTAGAAAATGCATTGAGAAGCTCAATTTAGATAGGTGGAAAGAGGATCTAAAGGAAAGCATAAACACACATGATTTGCATTTCAACACCACACAAGCTATGTGACTTTGCTTGTCATTATTCTGTCTTGTTGCCTATTAATTGATGTTGGCTTATTTGCTCCTAATTATGTGGTGCGATGCAACTATAAACAGAATAGGAATACTCAACAATTAACTAAATTCATCGTTATATTTACATCCATCTCCATTGTTCTGTGGAGAAATAGATTGCCTAAAGCTTCCGCAAGTATGCAAGAGAACATGTCCTTTATGTGTGCTCCTACACTTCTTCTTCTTCTTCTTCTTCGGCAAAGGTCCTGCATTTAGTCATCAGTATGCATCGGGGACTTTTGTCTTCAGAGAGACATGCATCCGTAATGATGTCTTCGTTTGAGACCCACATACGTTGAGCTAATCACTCATTCCAGTCTAACGCAAAAGTCAATGGTGGATGCTACCATTCTACCAAGAACGAATCAGAACTTGACTTCGGTCTCCTCTTCTTCGATGCCACCAACTCAGCCACCAAAATATTTCCATCCACCGAGAGAAAATGCATGCTTTCCGGTGCTTCCCATCTAAATCCCGTCCACCTCCAGATCTCATATGACGCAATGGGAACACATGAACTATATCAAGCAGCAGGAGAAAGAGATCGAAAAGAGGAGAAGGGTTAGGTGCCAAGTAGCTGTAGAGATTCACGTTTTCTATTGCTGGCAGCGTCAGCTTCATCTGCCCAACCAAAAGAATTTATTCCTCGTGTCTTTCGTTCATGACTCAGATGCACGTGAGTTGCCGGTGCAGATTAGGCATCAATGTAGCATCACATGACAAGATCCAGTTGCAGTGCTAATCTTCTGCTGCGAGCTCATACAGATAGCTTTCATCTCGGAGCATATATAATGCATGATGATGGTGATCCAAGTACACGGTGTTGATGCCAAATTAAGAACACTGTGCCAGGAAATATGAATGTGAGTGGCACATTGAGACTTCATATTTTGAGAGCTTAACCTGCTTGATGTGTCAGCTCCCAGTTCTTAATTGTGTCATTATGTGCAGCAACACGTGAACAGGACATTAATTTGTTTTTGACAATCCGATTAAGATGTATGTAATGGTGTATCACATGACTTTTTCGTTTCAGATCAAAGATTATAAAGACTTGAACCAGCATGAGCGAAATGATATTGGATTCTTTGTTTAATCGATAGATGATTCTTCTGGCTGGGATGAATGATTGTGTTGCAGTGCCAGTATCAGAAGAACCAGCAGAGTGACAAAGGCATGCAACAATCTATAATAATCTTTCCATAATAATATGTGATTTATGGTTCTGTGATATGCAACTTCTATTATTCTGATGTTTTCTCACATGTACAATATTTGGATTAGTAGGTGATTTGGATGGCATATTTATGTACTGTGACTTACACTAAATAATTATTAATTTTTTTTATCATTACCGTTCAATTTAAAAGTTTAAGCTGGTTAATTGGACATAATCTATATATTGATGTTTACTTTTATGTTTACTTTTACAAGTTTGATTAAGCTTGTAAAGCCTCCGAGCTACCGAAAAGCCTTTGGCCACGACAGACAAGGGATATGAAATCCGTCATTGTATAAAAAAGGGACACGAAATCCACCATAACAGAAAGAAGATTTATAGCCCACTATAGTGGAAAGATATGAGATCTAGTATGATAGAGGTGCAAGGACAAATATGCCAAAGATGCTTGAGTCAGAAAAACCTAATTTGTACTAAAATAAATCTGCTATGACGGAAGTACAAAAACAAATGCGCCTAAAACACGTAAGTTGGAAAAACTTGACATGTGCCAATATAAATGCATTACGACAAAGGTACAAGGCCAAATGTATTTAAGACATATAAGTTAGGAAAACTCGAAATGCGCTACGATAAGTCTACTATGGTGGAGGCATAAGGCTAAATGTGCCCAAGATGCATGAGATGGGAAAGCTCGACCCTTGCTAAGATAAATTCATTACGGCGAAGGAAAAAGACTAAATGCGCCCAAGATGCATGAGTTAGAAAAACCTGACCCGCGCCAAGATAAATATGTTATGATGGAGGTGTAAGGGCCAAATATACCTAAAATGCATAAATTAGGAAAACCTATCCATGCCAATATAAATCCACTATAGTGAAAGCGCAAGGCCAAATACATCCAAGATATCTAAATCGAGAAATCTAACCCATACTAAGATAAATCCACTATGACGAATGTGCAAATTTAAATGCATTTGAAACATGTGACTTAGAAAAACCTGACTCACGTAAAAATAAATCTACTATGGCAGAGGTGTAAGGCCAAATATGCTTGAATCGTGTGAGTTGAGAAAATTCAACTTGTGCCAAGATAAATATGCTACGATAGAGGTATAAAGTCAAATGTGCCCGAAATGCATGAATCAGAAAAACTTGACTCAAGCCAAGATAAATACATAAGGGTGCAAGCATAAAGCCATATGCACTTAAGACACGTGAGTCAAGAAAACTTGACCCACTCTAAGATGAATTCACTATGATGGAGGCATAATATCAAATGCGTCCAAGACATGGAGTCAAAAAACTTGACCCATGCCAAGATAAATCCACTACGATAAAAGCATAAGGCCAAATGCACCCAAGACCTGTGAGTTAGGAAAACCCAATTCGTGTCAAGATAAATCCAATACAACGGAGGTGCAAGGCCAAATATGCTCGAGACGCATGAGTTGGGAAAATCTAGCCCATATAAAAAGGAATCTATTATGGCAGAAATAGTAGCCCAATGTGCTTGAACACCTAAATAAAAAAAACCCGACCTGCAAGACAAAATCTCAAAGGCATGCTTCGGGGCTCTTACGAGAAAGGTTCGAAGCACATCATTTAATTCATCCGACATTGGAGCATATGAATGGGCCCAAAGCAAGCAATTGTAAGTTGTCTCCTCGGAGGCACCTTGGACATCCCTAAGCACATGAGCTAGAATCATATCGGGTTGACTAGGATGTCAATGATAATTTTTCTATAAT